AGAGAATCAAATTCTGAGTCTGAAGTAGCTCGACGGTATATCAAGAATATTACGATGTCTCGGAGCTTTCAAAAGGCTATGTGCTCGCCTCAAAGTCGCGAGTGGCTAGAAGGAATGAAATATGAGGTCGATGAAATGTTCAAGAAAAAAGTGTTCGAGCTGATCGACGAATGTGAGATGCCGGTTAAGGCGCATCGACTGAGCTCCATTTGGCGATTTCAAGGCAAGGCGATGATGAAGGATTCGTAAACGGTGACGACCTCGATTGGCCGGACGTGTTGACTCGTATGGAGTCTGGCCGTGTAGTCATCGATATTGCGGTTAAATTAGGACTCGATTTGTATCAAGATGATATTGATACAGCCTACTTGAATGCTGTTTTAGCAGTACATTCGTGGGTCCCATGATTTCCTGCGCCCGAGAGGACAAGCGTATCGCACTTTTCGGTCTTCACCAGTCTGTGCAGAATGGTTTGGAAAAAATCATTCGTTGGCTGACGTCGATGGGATTTGTGAGTACGCAAACAGAGCCGTGTCTATATGTCTTCTACAAGACGGCGTATTTGCAATATTTCCATTGTATGTCAACGATGTTGTACGCGCTACAAGCTCTATGGAGCTAAAACCTTCTTTGTTTGTAGCGTTTAACGCTAATTATGACTTCAATGACGGAAATAAACTACATTCGTTTCTGGGAGTGCAGGTTGAGCAAAGTGATAACTGAATTCGCATTCACCAAGAAAAGTACTTCAACGAGATCTTAGAGCGCTCCGGATTTGACAGCGCTCACGGCTGTGCGACCCTAAAGGAGACGATGGCAAATTGCAGTCAAAGCACGGATGGACAAGATGGTGAACTGTCGCTCGACTATCGAGGTGCTACTGGGGCATTTATCTACCTAGCTGCAAGCTTTCGACCCGATATTGCCTACTCTGCCGACTACCTTAGTCGATTCATGACTAACCCAAGGAAGAAGCACTGTGGCGATGTCAAACGTACCCTACGCAACATGTCAACAAAGAACTTGAGAGTTGTAAAATCGCCGGATTGCACGGGTGCCAAGGCGATCGTGCTACAGGTGACCCATGCGTGAAGGTCACTGAAGTGTCTTACATTGTATTTACCTTTTGGCAGCTCAGTCTCCCTTTGACAAGAAAGATAACACATTAGTGACGAGAACGTTGAAGACTAAGCATTCTATAGGAACGTTGTGTTTGTATTACATAGGATTCCTAGCTTACGCCTACGCGCAGTTCTGCACAATCATTGAACGCGTAACTACAGTATTGCACAGGTCTAACATGTACATACTTACTGGTCAGAACTGGAATAGCGTTCTTGCCTTCGTTCTGATCAGATGCCTCTAATGTCAGGACTAAGAAAATACGTATGCATTTAGAAAAGATAGTTGAGGTACGGGTCGTCAACAACTGCTTCTACTACCATTCCTTAATGGCTTTAAATATTATTATGTATTATTATTAATGAGTCGCGCTCCGAGCAAAATTATCACTTGTGAGACTAAATTTCTCTACCAACTGAGCAACACTCGGTCCTAATCCAACAACCACACAAAAACAAACAAAACAATTGTGCACGTGGGAGCGAGCACAACCAACACCTCTACAGCATTTACATTTCTTCCCCTATTAAACAATAGTCAATATGTCATTTTGACTATTATTTTTTAGGTGGATGAAATGAATTATTTATGAATAATTTATGAGCAGGTATTATTCATACAATGGTAGTATGCGGAGCTGTTAATAGGTAGAGCTGTTAATAGGTAGACATCTACTATTTTACAAATGACAGTATACTGAATTTGCTCAACTGGGTCATCGGTGAATGCCACACCCAATATTTGTGTATGCCTGCAGAATTCCGCGAGGAATGGCAATCTGTAAGAGCCTTCTTCGTTTGTCTTGTGCTGCTGTTCGCGAAAGTCTTCATTTTCGAGTTGACTTTAGCGCTCCTTCTGACTACAACAATGTGACCTGTTTAACATTGTCTTCTCCAATAGGCGCGCCTAGTAAACTTTACATCCATATTGTCGGTACCACCAGAACTCACCAGGAAATTCAGATAATAATTTTTGTTTGATCTCATTAATAACATTGAAAAATGCGATGCCGTCAAACTCATGTTTTTTGCCGGCATGGTAGCTGAAGACTAGGGTATTGGTACCGGATTTGCAAACGTTATCTAATACTTTAAAACTAGAAAATACCAAGACAGTATCCGGGTCGGACATTTTTCCGGTCAGGATATAATCCCGGTCACCCGCGTCACATACAAACTTAAGTAAGAATAGGAAATGGATACCCACTATTTGATTCGCCCTGGTTTACCCAAATATAGGTCTATAATCATTATAGATACGTTAAAGTGAAATGCGGGAAAATCCGCTTTCGATTACACATTCGCTGATATGCCATCACTAGCTGTGAACCTCAAACCAAACCTGCGAAAACGAGCGATGAAGAGCGTCACCTACGAAGCATATTTTGCCGCTATCGGCGCCGTCAAAGCCGGTATGGGCAAACGGACAGCGCCAAAACGTACGGGGTCCCTCGCGAATCATTGCGCCAGCGTGTGAACGGTGATGTGCTAATTTTGGCCCATCGAGGGCCACAACTCAAGTTTCTATCGGAAAGGTGGTGATCAAGGTCTGGTGGAGATAAGAATCCACCGCGCACTTCACGGCATGTGTGTAGGGATAGATATACTTCGCTGCATGGTGCGAACAGCAGCAGAAGCAACAGGAAGGCGGTCATGGACGGATGCTTTGCCTAGCAACAAATTCATCTCGCGATGGCTGAGAAAACACCTTCAACTATCCATCCGACATGTTCAGCTTTTGTCTGTAAAGCGAGCTCAACATTCTACCCCGATGCTGTGATGCGCTATTTCAGCAACATACAGAGCGGCTTAAAGAAATTGGATCTAACGGACAAGCCCGAGAGGATCTGGAGCTGCGATGAGACAGGCATTTGCCAGCAAGGATATGGAGGTGAACGGATCGTTTGCCCAAAGGGACTCCTAGCAAACGTTCAACGCTCGAATGACCGCGAATACACCACCTTTCGGCCTGTATTAGCGCTTCTGGTAAAAGGATACCACCAGGGCGTGGGAAATACAATATCCAGTGTTATTTTGCGTGAATCACATCCGTAATAAAGACTGCAATACCTGGCAACACAATAATAATCACTGCAATAATCACAATATATTGTTATTACTTAGTCTTCGACGCAACCGAGAAGGGTGGAGCAGTTCCACATACTGCGATTAGCACGAGAAACATGGGCGTTTCAAAATTAGCTGGTAAAGTAGATGAACGTAGCGATGTAAAAACAAGCTTACACTCAGAAAAAAGGATCTCGCATGTGTTGCTTGTCGGAGGAGCGCAGAGCAGGATCATACTCGACAGACGCCTGCGATGCAAGCCGTGCCTTCTTGGCTTGCCGGAGGACGGAGGTCGCGAAGTCGGCCGTAGCCGGCACTTCGTCTTGTAATGTAGACGAAGATAAAATGAAACTGTCGACTGCATGTAATTCATCCGCTGAGAGGGGTAGGTCGTTTTGCAGCTTCACTATTGCAGACTCGAAATGGGGCGAGTGAACAATCTCAGCTGTTGGTGCCAAGTAGTTAGCCATGACGGGATACTTAGCAGCACACGCATCAAACAACAGGCGCACCTCGGCAAGCGTGCACGCCTCCGCTTGGATTCTCACACACACACTGTCCAGCTCACGAAGCTTGTCCAATACACCTATAACGCGGCGGTGCGCATGGCCACGAGGCACAAACTCTTCAACAGCCTCCACCGTCAGGATCGCATCACGGATCTTGCAATATCGGTCAATCATCTGGAATGTAGACGACCAGCGCGTAGTGTTTGCCTTAACAGGCTTGTAGTCGGTCGCCTTTGCCAGTGCGGTAGCATTTTTGACATGACGCAGCTGAATCATCAGGTTTTGAATCAGATCTATCTGAGTCTGATAAACCTGCAGAAATCGATTAACCGCGAGGTTAAATCGATGACTTGCACAGCCAATGAGGGGGACGCCCATTCGTGTATCCATACTCTGATTGGTTGCACAATTGTCCTCCACAACATAGCGCACCATCTGCAGGTTCGTCTCGTACACAGTTAGTACGGTGGATATATGATCGAGGTGGGCTTCAGCTGTCTGGCCGTCTTTCATTGGCGAAAGCGCAAGAAGGCGCTGGTGGCGCACACCATTGTAGACGTAGATCGCGTAGATACCGAGGAAGTGGAGTAAGTGACTAGTCCAACCGTCGAACATTAAAGCAAAGGAGGTTCCCATCTCCTTTGCAATGATTGTTCCAACGGCTAGAGCCACATGACGCATGTACCGCTTTAGTGTCTTGGTAGTCGTAGGCTTCATTGTAACTACAGCACGCGTAGCCTTGTTTTCCACTTCAGTGATTGGTAGATTTCTCTCGATCACCCATACCATCCATTGGTAGATATTGCGCGTCTTATCATCCACAAAACCAAACGTGGTGAGTGCTGGCGTCTGCGTGGCATGAAGTTCTGCAAACTCAGCAGCATACCCAGCGTGCTTGCTGTTAAAGTGGCTGAGGAGATTGCTGTACCCCGTGCCGGGCGTCTGCTTTCGAGGAAGCCCACAGGATTTACACTCAAAGCGACCTTCGCCGAGGTCGTTGAAGTAGAATGCGCAGAGTTGACGGGAGGTCATCGTGGGTAGCGTGGTGGGTAGCGTGGCTAAGAGCGGTGGCTTGTTCTCTAGAGAGGAAATTGAGAAGTGGGGAGTGTGTGGATCAAAGCGCGCAGAGTGTATTTGCAAGGCAGTCGAGAACTGTTGGTTGTCAGCGCTCCTGGAAATGGTTGGAAGCGTGGAAAATATTGTATTATTGTGCTGAGTTTTGTATTATATTTATCTTGAAAAATCAATAGTATCGTTATTCCGTAAATATAATACCCGTAATATTGATATTATACTATTTCCCATGCACTGGATGGAAGGCGCTAAGAAAGAGGCCCGCTGTGCGATGCGTGAAAACTTAAATTTCAACTTTTACATTGATTCAAATGGTTTGTAAGTCTGCTACACCCTGAGCATCCGCAGTTGCTATTGTTAGATGGCCATTTTGCTCACATCCAAGTCGAGGTTGTAAAGTACGGAGCGCACATGGCGTCCATCGCTTCATTTTGACGGCCCACACGTCCCAATTTCTCTAGCCTCTCGACTTATCCGTCATTGGTTCTTTCAATGCTCGGTATGAGAAAGCCCTCAAGCGTTTTCCAGCACGTAGCAAAAACAAGTTCCTCGCTAAGGCTGATCGCTGGTATTGCCAGCGATCCGTTGATACAGGTATGCTGTTCTCATTAAGCGAAAATAGGATTTGAGAAAGCTGGTATTTTTGCACTGTCATTAGACGTCATGCTGAAAGGAATAATCGAAAGCAAGCCACCCGTATCTAGTGACTCGCTCCCACATCTCTCGGTCATTTTGGGGCACGTTGTTCCGCCGCTAAAAGAGATTGCGTTCACGGAGCGTCAAAAGCGGATTTTGCGCGAGCGCAGCTTAAATCTGGACGCGCTTAACGTTGTCTATCTGCTGTTGCGTTCAGTCGTAGCTCCCGTTTCGCAGAAACTTAAGCGTGGAGAATGGGTGAACGAAAACGTTTTTGGCGGGAAGCTGCTAAACTACGAGATGATGTTTACAGCTGTTGAGACCAAAGCTGCTGCCAAAGCCAAAAACTGCTAACAAGAAGTGAGAAACGTGCCTGTCATGAAATGAACCTACATGACAAAATTGAGCATCAGGCCGACAGAACCAAGCGCTTACTACAGTACATACAAAGCGAGCGTGATGGCTGCGTTTTTCAAAGCTAAGAAAGCCCGAGAAGAAGTTCCGAGTAAGGGTGCTGCTGCCGGCAAGTCGAACAAAATATATACTCTACCTCTCGGAGCGATAGTGTCAACTACGGAGGAGCAAGACATCATGATGTCGATTCTATTGTAAGTACGGTACTCCATACTTAACCCCTCAGTTACCAGAAGATCCGTGTTGGAACCGCCTATTTTACGTCGTAAGTTACGACTTTATTTTAGTATATTTATTTGTATGGATGTGTCTTTTCCACACTGGATTCCCGCTATAAACTGTCAGAGGATATTCTGAGCTACGTCGTATGAGTTACGACATTATGAGCACGTCGTATCACGAAAAGCAATAACTTACGACGTTCAAGTATTGTTTTTGTCGAAGCAGATGCCTATTTACACATCCGTAGAGATCCTCGTACAACAAAGAAAGAGCTACATTTACATAAACTAAGTGCTGTCCAAACGCATTCAAACGATTGCCGATTGCTGAGCTGGCTGATCCTCTTCATTGTCGGCCTCGCCGTCTTGTTGACAGAGCAGCTCACGCCGAGTTGGTTTTCGAGTACCAGCCTTGGCTGATCGTCGCAAGACGACTCGCTTGCCGAGCGATGCTGGGATGGAAGCCCCACTGTCAAAGTCTTCGTGCCAAATCTGATAGCATGTTTTGCGCACGCCTCCGTAGCTATGGCGCGACTTGGGGCAGAGGAAGCACTTTGCGTCTGCGTGTGAGCAATCCTCACAATAATAGGTCGTTTGAAAGGATTTTTTTCGATCGCCTCGTAGAAGAGCGCATACTTTGCAAGAGCGTTGCCGGCGCTTTTGGGTGCCTGAAACGGTGACCCAGTCGTCGAACTGGATGTGTTTGTGACCGTCTAGTCGGCGGCGCTTGCGAGAGCGAGCCATAGGAGAAGGTGTAGGAGCAGTAGCTTCAATGAAGTCGTCGGCTTTGAGCTGCATCAATTGCTTATGAAGTAGAAGATACCATTCTCCACGATCTTTTGGTACCAGCCTCTTGATCCGGCATGTTTCCTTGTGTGTGAGATACGCATTGACGAGTGCCATGTCCATGAAACCCATGAACAGTGACTTGTAATACTTCCTGAAACGGAAAGCCGTTTGGATTGAATAGGACTGCAGGCGAAGTTGATCATGTACATCAACTCCCGCCCATCCAGCGTTGGTAATCAGTAACTAACTTTGGGCATTTGACGCAAGACGGCCCGACCATCTTGACGTTACGACGAATAGAGTCCTCTGCCATGACCGGACCCGTGGCCAGGTAGTGGACCGGCTTTCGGTCCCACCAGTGGCAAGCTATCATGGTCGGTATAGCAGTGGAGCGAGAGAACGCAAATGTACCACGCTCAATCGCTCGAGGACGTGTTTTACGTTTCTCAATAACTTGCTTGTCGAACCCCAGTCTGTTGATCATGATCGTTCCCACCACGTAGATACCCATCGATAGAAGCTGAATAGCCAGTGGGATAGACGAGTAAAATCGATCGATCACTACCAATCGAAACCCTTGTGATCGATCTCCCAGAACGGCTTTCATGTTTCGAATAACTGCAGCAGCCCCCGTCTTGTCGTCGACTGCTTGCTGATCACCATCCTCGGTCTCACGCTTTCCGACGTACACCTCGAATCTATAGTAGTAAGTTACGACGTAATAAAATATCGTATTACAATTCAAGCCGTAAGTTACGACATAATTTTTAAACGAAACAAACTTACCGGTGGCAGTATGCACTCACAGAATCGCAAGCCATAAACAACTTGGTTCCGTATCGATGGGGCTTGTCGGGCATAAACATCCGCGTGGTGTTGCGCTTGGACGTGGCTGGTAGTACGCCTTCGTCAAACGAGAACTTACTACCGAGTGACCAGCCAGATCGAAACCGAGTTTGCAACGTGTCGACAACAGGCCGTAACTTCCACAATTTGTCTCGAATCCGTGGGGCTTCGTTGTTCACGACATGGAAGTCTCGAAGAATTGACGTGCAGCGGTTTCGAGCCATGAACTTGCCAAAGTTTCCGGCAGGTATTGCACCGTCTTCGGTCATTGACCAATGCCGAGAAAAGCGACGCGTCATTGGGTTCAGCATTCTTGCCACTAAGAGCCCAATGACGTGGAGTATCTCATGAGTTTCGTACGCAGCCTCGACGCGCAATCGCCTTTCAATCTGCTTAACAGTCTCGGGGGCTGGTACAGTGCGTTTCCTTTGCTTCTGTCGGATTCGCTTAGCTCTGGCGTGTACTGTCTGCTTCTTGTAGCGATTTGTCTCCTTGGTGATGGTAACCCACAGTGATTTTGGTAGGAAGTAAAATAGAAGCAGCAAGGGAGAATCCGCAATGTCCTGTAGCTCCCTGATCGGTACGGCGACGTCCGTAGACAGGCGAGGGTACCCTCCACTGTCAGCTTCGAAGATGGACGAAGGAGGACTCCATTCAAAGCTCCGGAGTGCGGCCTTGTCGATCGACTCCAGTGTTAATTTGCCACCTAACGCCTCGACAAATGCGTCGTCCATCAGAGCAACGTCTTCATCGTCCTCAAGTGTGTCGTCGGGGTACTCACGCCTCACGATGATATCGTCGCCACTATTGTCGCTGCTGTCGCTGCCACTAGAATCGACGGCCTCGTATTCATCCGAAAGATCTCCATCGCCCATAACATTCACGTCGGTTACCGGCAGTGCCACACGGCAGTCATCCTCCACAGTCTCACCTCCACACACACTTGCGCCTTCCTCCTCCACACTGGCGCAACCATCATCGTTGTCGTCCGAATTGCTCGACTCGGCGCCTGACAGGAGCCGCTGGAACGCCCCCACGACCATCTCTCGATCTGACTGCTCCAACGTATCCTCCGCTTCCGACTGGGGGTCACTGTCCGTGCCAAACATCGCCGATAAGGTGTTGGCCGACAGCGCGATGGATGTGTCTATCTGTGACGCCGTCACTGTAACGTCCACCGGCACGACCTCATCACTGCCCACCTCCCTCTCACTGTCGCCACTCTCTTCAGCAATAAGCCCAGTCTCGATTGCATAAGCCACCACAGCATCCTCCCCTAGACAAGTGATATAAATTAGACAAATGAAGCACATAACCATATACGAGCTTCGCACCAGTGAGCGACTTCCCGTCCGGCGACGTGTACGTCCACTCCTTCGCAAGTCCACCGGAAGGTCTCTTCGACGTCCATCCCACTGCACGTAGCTGCCGCCAGAGATGCTTGAAGTCGATGGCACGCACGTCCATCGTGCTGGCAACTGCTGATTGCTTCGTCCGCGTACTTGATCGAACTCTCGCCATAGTGGCAAGTTCTTGAATGAGACACCAGTGGCTCGAGTCGGCGCTCTCGGCCACTCATCATTCTGTTCGGTGCAGCACATCTACCCTTCCCCCACCCTTTCTTTTACATTTGCCGAATCGACCTCTTTCAGCTTATATAATTTGCCTCCAAACTTTGACTTGGTTAAAGTATCGTGTCCTCTTTTTTCGAGCCATTTTCTGTTTGAAGGCTCGAATTACGTCGTAAGTTACGACTTTCGCCCTACTCAAAGTCGTAACTTACGACGTTGGTAACAGAGGGGTTAAGGAAGATGACACGTTTTTTGTCGGCCCTATTTACAAAAATAGCATTTAACAATATAGTGACACGAAATACGTCTGGTACAGATATCAGCAGCACCAATAGGCATTGCTGTCCCTAAGACTTATGAGCTTAAAGCTTCACCAGAAAACCCCGACCATCATGGTTGCATTTACCATCCCGCATCATTTTCGAAGACTCAATCCTCGCCTTCATCGTGCGCTGTTTTGCTCTCGTTGAGATTTGTTCAGTACGAGTGGGCACGGCGTGAAGAAGTGGCCACATTTGGAGGAGTAAGCATCGAAGAAGTGGTGATGCAGGAAGTTACAGCTACAGAGATTTAAATACGTACTTATACGTGAAGCAGATGCTGTGTCACTGCGTATACCAGACCATTAAATGGCGATTAAAGTTCTGTTGAGATATTTCAAAGACCTGTTTGTCAAGGATGACAAGGCTCTCGTCTTAAATTTGTTGTGCTATCCCAGCCTTCGCGGAGATTTTGATAGTAGCCAACTTGCAGCTTCACCGGTAAGCGATGTTACTTGGACAGGAGATGCGTTTATTTCTCAGTAGCAGCAAATGGTTACTTATGCATGAGATTTTGCACAAGGGTGCAAACGAAGCGTTTATTACATAACGATTTACGCTGTCATCTTAATTAAAACACGCTTGCTACTTTTTCCAAGATGGCTACATGTAGCCATTTTATATAAATGACACTTGCACAAATGAATAGTCGGTACCAATTGGGTGCCACTTAGAGAGGTGTGACTTTACTGCTAATCGTAAATATATACATGTACGAAGGTGCGATTCTGCCTAAAGAAGCTCAATACGGTTTTGCTTCACACTAAGAAAAAAAGTGGATGTTCGAAATTTTACACAAACTAAACAGTAGACCTTGATGTCGATATTCACTTTCAAACTAGATAAATAGGCTACCAATGTAAATAAAGAATTCGAGGTGCTCTAGAAAATGGACCAAGCGAAACTCTTATAATCCATAGCTGCATCATGTTGCTTGTGTTGGCATTCACCCCGATGATGTTGGTTGAAGGGTGGTAGAGTTATACTGCGTAGTAGTAGTATAAAAGTGATGGTGGATGACCCTATTATAATACTAAAATTAATGCGACCTCATGAACAGCATGCGAAACATAGCTACAAACTAATCTCAGCCTTCGCGAAGTTTTTACTAGTGATGCTACGCCTCCAGTACAAAATCCGGAGCTTTTCCGCGCAAAGCGCGTGTGTGTTGATATCAGAAGCGCTATCACTCG